TGCGTCGGCTTGTTCTCTTTGGATGGAGTGGGTATGACATAAATACACTGCCTCTTAAAAATACATCTTGAAGGGCGATTCATTTGAGGTTGGCTAACATCAGATGTGTTGGGACGAAAGTGGCATATATCGCAGTCTATCTGTAAAATACAAACCCGCCCTTTTAGGGGCGATTTTGATATATAGTGTAAAAAAAAGGGATACACAATCTGTCTTGAAACGTGACACAAATTTACCAATACAGATACTTTGTTCAATCTATTGCGATTTTCTAGGCGCGGGGGGGGGGGGGGGGGGGGGGGGGGGGGGGTGGGGTGGGAGGGGGCGGTGGTTCCAAAGGGGGAGGGGGGTCTTTGAACCTAAGGATATAGAGCCGCATGGTGAATGCAGTCGCCTTGGTCGGTGCAGTTTTGAATTTCGTTTTCGACCATAACAGAAAAAAAAAAAAAATAATCAAAAGAACCATAATACTAACGCTGACGTGATATTGACGCCATCGACCATCCAATGCCGATTGCGCTTTAAAATATAGGTCTAGTCCTATATTCCTAATCTGCATACAAGAGGGGAAAAGGGTCCTTTACATTTTTATAAGGCTAGCTAGTAAAATCTGGCTCGTTCGCATGTGAGCCCAGCGTTCTTAACTGTTGACCCTTAGTTGGCTAAACCGGATTGCGCGGTGACCGGGTGACGAACTCCTTGTGGTCCGGGTAGGGGTAGGCAGGGCTGCCAATGTTGGGTTTTACAACCGGATCTGGGTTTTTATATGCCTTGGGTTCAAATTTTTAAATCTGGGGTTTTTTAATCCTTAAATTAAAGTGGGTAAAGGTTTCGTTTCGTAACTATAAATTTTGTAGTTTTCAACAATATGGGTTTTTTTTTTTTTTTTCTTTGCTTATGTATTGCTTGGGTTTTTTTGGTTATCTTAGCTGGGTTTTTCAAAAAAGTCCTATTGGCAGCCCTGGGGGTAGGCAGAAAAGCCACATTTCTCCCAGATTTACGGTATTTATCATGGAATCAAGGCCGAAGGGTTGCGATTTCCAAAAGCCGAGCCTAAGGGTTAACAACTCATGGCTAAAAAAAAAATTACTGCTGACCACCGCTGCTCTAGACATGAACAAAACTTTAAAAGATAACTTCTATACAAGGCTGAGGGTGGGGGTGGCTTAGTTCTCTTACAAGTTTTTCGGTACAACGGAGACTCTTACCCCAGACATGTTTTTTTTTTTTTTTTGGGAGTGGAGGAGGCGGTATGGGAACCGGTATCTACATATCAACACCCCTGGGTTTCCACGTCTTGGTTCCTGCAGTTATTATATTATGTCAAAACAAGCATGTCTTATCTTCGTTTGAGATTACCTAGGCGATAGCTGGAATCACAACGACAAATCAACATTTGAAATTCTTCATCACGAACCTCGTGAAAATTACTTGTCGCTTAATGTAATTTTAGATTCGTTACGATCATACTAGGCATTGGTTTGGCAATTAAATGCTCAAAACCCATTAAAAATATTGCAAAAGTTGGCTTAAACCCGGCTAGTGAATGTGCCTTCTGCTAGGTTTTGGCCTAGAAATATTCAATATTCAGGGGCCTCCAAGCATGACGAATTTGGATTCGAAATCTTACCGCAGCAGACTTTTTAAATATTTTAAAAAACAGTTCATAGCTCCTCAATTCAGCACACATCGAAAAAAAACTTTTCAAATAAAAGCTGACGGAGTAATGTTGACTACATATCCACACCAGTACCGACTGGCTATACAAATGCATGACTAGCACCCTATAACCATGATTTACTTTAGATCTAAAGTAGGTTATGATATGCATACGCCCCATGATCTACTTTAGATCTAAAGTAGGTCATGCTATGTCATATTCCCCATGACGTAAAAATATTGCTTTATTTATCTAATAATTTTTTCAACCATAAATGTAGTGATGATAACGGTGCAGAAAGGGGTTGTTTTGAATGAGCCCTATTTGACCACTATTTTACACGCGAAATATGTGTTAAACTTGTGTCGACACAGCTATTTCTCTAGGAAGCATAACCTGTAACAGAGAAACTAGCCAGCCCATTTCCTAACGCCAACACATATAACGCTCTTGGGTAACGTCTTTGCTCTTGGGGAGTCCAGGTAGCATAGTGGCCATATGCTCCCCTGTCAAGCGGAAGGTCTTGGATTCGAATCCCTGATAAGCCTTTTTTTATTCCTCTCTTCAAAATTTCCTTGTCTCTCAGATCGACTTAACCTAAAATAGTTACTATTGGAAGTAAAGGAAGTAAATGCGGCTTTGCGATGTTGACCACATCGATTACCAAGAGCGGTTGGGCCCATTAAAAATGTGCCTATCATCATATACCTGCACACACACACACACACAACACTGGGATTAAACGGATCCTTTGCTTTTTGTATTTATTTATTTGTAATTAAGCTCTTTATATCCTTCTTGTTTCTGTGGCGAAATTGTCTGTTTACATACAAAGGTGTACAATCTAAGTTAAAAGTTAACTACACATTTTCAAGCGCTATTTAGCCTACTCGTTGCTTTCAATCAAAACCAATATTTCGTATGAATCTAAGCAGGTATTCATATCTTTTTAGCGTCTACTTCTGTAAGTGAAGTTTGAAGCCAGGCAGGTAACGGGCGGGTAGGAAGTCCTGAGACTTCTTGTTTTGAAATAAAAGTTATGGTTTTATGGTATGTTACCAAAGTCCTCAAGAAAGCAAATAGGGCCCTTTGAGCTGACATGCTTTAGACAGATTCTCAGACTACCACGGACAAAGAAGAGAAGAAATACTGACATTTTAAAACATCTGAACATCAAGGATTATTGGCTACTGACCATCATCTTGTCTCGGAAGTTAAACTATTTTAGACATATCAAGCGCTATGGTGGTCTAGAAAAAAAAAAATAGTAGCAGAAGGCATGGTAGCAGTGAACAGCACGAAGATGGAGGCAGGGTACAAATGATACCTTTAATATAGAAGTACACTAGGCGGAGGAGTTGGCAACAGTTTGAGTTTGTTTAGGCAGCACACATTGATGATGTTGATGATGGTGATGTTGATGATGATGATGTTGATGATGATGATGACGATTATCTGCATTATTTGCGCACTCAAACGTAGCTTAATCCTCCTCAGTTCTCGGCTCCTAGAAAGTTATAAGGGAGCTAAGCACCTCACCCCCAGAATTTCTTTGTGGTAGCATTCTTACAAGACATACCAGAGTTTATTACCCAAGTTCTCCGATGGCTATGATACCTTAAACCAACCCACTACGACTCCATCTTCTTTCGATCCTTGCAACGGTACTGGCGTTACTCTGAAGCATAACTTCCAGTCTATGTAGTAGGGCAAGCGTCAAGTATCTGTGGCCGAGTCCTTACGATATCTCAAATTATATATCCTGTAATGTTGGTCTTTATGTACGCCCATACGCTTCTGTGACATCTACTGCGCTCTTTTTTGTAACACAGATGTCTCTCTAAACCAGTTATCTTTAACATTTCTTAGGTTGCGACCCCTTTGAGTATATGCCAAGGTCACAAAGGCTCCTCCACGAAACATAACAAAATGTGATTAAAGAGAGGACAACAAGAAAACTTCGAATTACTGATTAGGAGAAAAACACAGAAATCACTCTCCGTGTCAAGCTGGCAGCGCTTTTTTTGTTTTCATAACTATTAGAGCTAAAAATTCTGATTACTGCAATTACAAATTTACTCAATTTAAAAATTGTTTGACGCCCTGTTGAAACTTCTTCACGCCCGCCTGGGGGCGGGGAGCACGCTCCCCAGTTTGGAGACCACTGCTCTAAATGATGTCTCATCATCATCTCTATTCTATGTTCCATTATTATCTTCAACCTTTCAATCGCACCTGATAAAATGGTCAGCATTCTCGTTAACGTTATCGCCACCATCATCGTCAGCATCGATATTATCATCACAACTCCAACTTCTTTTGCTGCATCAACATTTGGAGATACAATACTTATTTATTCAAAATAATTACTTCCCGTGTGGGTTCCGTGGCCACACTGTGGGGAAAACTAGAACAGACCCACTGCCTCCCCAACAAGCATGTCGTAGGAGTCGACTAATTTAGCACTTCCTTCGAAGTCGGAATGCTCTTCGCAAGCGGTAAGGAACACTAACTGCACACAAATAAGCCAATAAAACGGATGTACACGCAAAACTCAGACCCTGGCACAAAGCCAAAGTCTAAATGGACGAACAAACAGGACTTTCTGCCGGAACTTAAAGCCGGTGGACAAAGAAGAAGAATAAACAGATTACATAACTGAACTTGGCTACAAACAAATTGTGAAAATTTTAGTACTAGGAACACTTGGAGAGGGCATGTCCTTGACCGTTGACGAGAGGAAGGAAGTGGCATCAGCCTGGGTGGAATACAGCAAAGGGAGGTAAGTCCCACCTACTCTCATACTAAAACATGGTTTATAATTTGTAATTTCAGTAGTAATTGGACACGCCACCATCTCTTAGACACCCTTATAAAGTGTCAGTCTTAGTCATACACTTAAACTGCCGAACTATGGAATATGGACAGTTGCGTCTATATTGTGGGATTCGAACACAAGATCTTCCGGTCGACAGGCGAGAGTCTAGCCACCATGCTGCCGTGACTCTCGAAAAGCTAGGACAAACTTTTGTCATAGTATGGAGGGATGTCAACACATGAACTGATCGTATTTGTTGAAGATCGCCGGTTGTGGAAAGGCACACAAGTCGGCAAGGCACTTGATGAGGAGGATTTTATGACACATACACACACGCACACACACACAATGCTACTCACCCAAGGTGACTCCAGAAAAATCAGTACAGATCTAACAGCTAAACCTCGTTGGCCTACTGTCAAGATGTTGAGGAGCTAAACACAAGGCCCACACTACAACACATAGAAGTATTTGCTAAAAGAATTTCAGGTTGACAAACGTTTACCACAAAGTCAGGCAGATATGGGAAAACACATCGTTGCTATGAATGGATAGTCTTCTATCAGACGGTTACTGAACGGTATTAAGTTTCCTGGTTTACTTACCTGTGTCAGGGAGACCCTACACGCTGCACTAGTGCCGTGCTAAGACATAGATCAAGGCTGTTCAACAAAGCTTAACTAAGGGGCCAAATTGTTGGATAATAGAAACCTTTACATGTTAGGGGTTCCAGCCTAGGCATAAAGAGACCATTAATACAAAATAACCGTCAATGATCCCCGCTTCGGCGGTCCAAACTGGGCCCATAATAAGGCAAATGGAATATCCCTGGCATAGGTACTTTAATTAAGTGGTAGACTGATAACTATCACTGATTGTAATAATCAGTTGTACAGATTTGTTTTATCTTCACAGTAGGTGATTTGTTATGTGTTAACATAAGCACCGAAAATAGTAGATAGAATCTGATGCATTATCTCAGAATAAGAAAATAAAGAGAAAGTATGTGATGCTGGTGGTTATTTTGATGAAATATAGGATGTAGACGAAGAAGGAGATGATATCATGATTATGTCAACAGCAGTAGCAAGAGCGGTAGAAGTAGTAGTAGCGTAGAGGCAGTAGTGCAAGTGACAGTAGTATTATTGGTATACTACCACTAGTTGTAGTAGCAGTAGCAGCAGCAGTAGTAGTACTAGTAGTAGCAGCAGCGGCAGTAATAGTGGTTGTAGTAATAGTAGTAGTAGTATTAGTAGTATTAGTAGTCATAGTCGTTGTAGTAGTGGTGGTGGTATTGATAGTAGTGGTGGTAGTAGTAGCAGTAGTGAAACGGCGTAAGAACATATGTGAATTACTTCTCATATACAATAATGTGACTGCTCTATTACTCTGTGTTGGCGTTTAAATATCTCCAAAAAAAATAATAATAATAATACCCCTTTTGACACCTAGAGTGATATGGGTGTTTACTAAAGTAGATCTAAAAAGAACTATTTCTTGGCCTACTTTGGCTACCAGCGTCAGAAATGAGACCATACTACAACAAATGAGCGCAAAAGCATATCATCAGTTCTCGTTATGCCTAGTGGCACATGAGGCGTCAGAGAGGACCTTCTATGCTTTCCTGTCCTGTGCAATCTTCAGTGCAGTTTTCCAAGTCAAAGATGCCGCACTCAGGTCACTTTCCATCGTTCGTCTCCATGTTGTTTTTTGGCGCCCCTGTTTTCTCTTTTCATCTGGTGTCCATGTGAGAGCTGTTTTGGCAGGTATATAAGAAGTCATTCTCATAACGTGGCCAAGCCATTTCCATCTTCTCTTGGTAATCATACTGTCTAAAGTTTCTTGGTTTGTGACTTGGAGTAGTTTAGTGTTTGAGATTGTACCTGGCCAGAAAAACATAGCTATAGATATAAGATGTCTTAGGGAAAGCTGCTGGAGTGATGAAAAGAGATAAATCTAAAAAAGAAAACAATTAGAAGAAGATTATGATTGAAACCAGTCATTCAATTTATTAAAAAAGCAACAAATGAGATGGTTTTGCCTTCTGACAAGGATGCCATGATACCAACTGTCACAGACAGCCACGCTTGAGAAATATAATAAATACGGAACGAGGGAAAGACAACACAATATATGGAATTAGCCCCGCCCCCCCCCCCCCTTTTTTTTCCCCCACACCCGAAAAAGCATAACAAATGAAAACGAACTTATACAAAGCATATTAAAGAGATCACAGGCAGGAGAATCTTACATATCCCCCTAATACGTCGATGAGTTAACTAGAAAAAGAAGAAGAAGAAGAAGAAGAAGAAGAAGAAGAAGAAGAAGAAGAAGAAGAAGAAGAAGAAGAAGAAGAAGAAGAAGAAGAAGAAGAAGAAGAAGAAGATAGCGATGATGATGATGATGATGATGACGTTAATTGTGTGCTCAGATGTACACCTTGGGAAGCTCTGCACATATTTTCGTTGCCTGATATTGAAACGCAGTGTGTCTGTTCTAAATGTCACCTTACACTGCAACAAATAATACAGGTATACAGCCAGACCGCAGCTATAAATGTAGGCATGGAATGAAAACAGACTCGGGGGGAAATATTTTCTTGATCAGCGTGGAACGTAGCTAATAGGAGCTTGTTAATTTTTAGAAATGGGAAATCCAGTGTATATCACTAGTTGAATAATCGACGATCATGCTTCCTGGTGCCTTGTAATTTTACCACTGCGTATCATAGACTATTTATTCAACAACAGCTTGCCAAGGCGGATGATATCGCCTTTATCGGACACCGATACGATTTTTATGGTGCGGATCTGGTGGGAGGGGAGGGCGCGGTAGTTATTGGTGCAACTAAGTACCGTTGGAATAATCCTGTGTAATGGTAGCCTTGGGTGCAACTATTGGGGGGGGGGGGGGGGGCTCCGGGGGCTCCAGTATCAATTAATTCGACAGCGGAAGCATAAGAAAAGCTTCAAAGAAACTAATGAGTAGGGGGGGGGGGGTGAGTAAGAAAAGAAAAAAAAGGGGGGGGGGGTGAGTAAGGAAAGAAAAAAGGGGGTGGGGGGGGGGGGGGTGTCGTTCGTGCCTATTTCGTCTGCAACGTAATAGTTAAACTTAAAGTGGTTCCTAATGTTGCTATTTTTATTAATGTATTTTTCTGCTGATTCTTTTAAATAAGGTAGACCTAAATGATGAAAAATGTAGATTTAAAATATGGAAAAGGGGGAAGGGGTTGAGATGGGGCACAGTGTATTTACAACAACAACAAATAAAATTGGAGCCACAGACAAATACGTTTGAATGTCATGATACTTACGAATACAGGGTTCTTTTCTGTTTAGTCACCACATCACGCAAGATTTAGGAACATGCCATATTATGGGTGAAAAGGGAGGAGGGGGGTAGGGTTATTAGTAGTCGCTAAACATTTAACACTAGCCCTAACCCTTACCCCTATAATTTGGAATCTCCTTACATCTCGCATTATGTGCTAACTAAACATAAGTGAACAGAATACAGTTATGATAACCAACACTACAATAAAGTCAAGGCAAATAAAAGATAATACACTGAAACAAAATTGTACGAGACTAAATGACTTTTTAGAATAAATGTTCTTTTTCCTTCCTGGTATAAGTTATTATTTCGCAAGGGCGGATTTGAATTGGAAACTTGGAATATCCTACGGATGATATGGGATTAAGTCAAACTGCGTCGTATGATTCTTATGTTTTATATATATATATATATATATATATATATATATATATATATATATATATATATATGTGTGTGTGTGTGTGTGTGTGTGTGTGTGTGTGTGTGTGTGTGTGTGTGTCACTTGTACAGAAGGCGTTTAATGATAGGCTTAAAATGGATTCATGGATTTGAATTCTCAATCTAACAGGTTGGAAACAGTCATTGTTCACGTTGGAAGTGGCAACCTGAAGGAGAGTGTTGAACTGGTACACTCCTTGTTGATATCTGTCTGCCTATTTCTAATACTAAAGTTAAAAAAAAAAAAATGTGCCTTTGTTGTTAAAATGTTATGTTACGTTATCACAATCTACGTCTTTGCACACTGGGCATCTCTATGCGTGCTCAGTACTCCGATGCAGCATCCACTCCAAGGTACCTCTACTGATTTGTCCCATGACAAGCTGGTTATAATGTCTTCTATCATTACCTCGAAGACTGCATAGTCGTGCTTCGCCAAAGTTTATCTCCTCAGCCAAGCAGTAGTTTTAACGTCATAGATTGTTGCTAAAAGACAAAGCCAATGTTATATTATCACAATGAAAGTGACTTCATACTCGTCAGTCCCATACGTGCTAAGTCCTCAGCCACCAAAAGGTACTTTAGCTGCACATATTCCTAAACTTGTCCTGTTGCCAACACTTTTAGACAAAGGTAATTTCGCGATACAGTAGTTGGGTTTATAAGCAAACCGGAGTTAGTTAAGTCAAGAAATAACATCACGGTACTCGGGAATACCCCATGCGTGCTCTGTCATTATCTTCAGCAACCAGCTATGGTACCGGTCACAATCTGGTTATAAGTCTGTCTCACCTTTCCTCTGAGTGTAGCGCGTCGGCCAAACCTTCTGGTTACACTCAGGTGCCTCATTCTCTCTCAGGCGATAATAATCTTGTTTCTATACTGATTTCGTTACTTGTTCCCAAAGAGTCTTAAAAACATCTGCCCTGTCATACATCAGTTCCCCACCCAGTGGTGCGGATCCAGTCTGTCTGCCTGTTCATTGCCCACCACGCCGGCAAAACCAGGAGAAAAGACCCAAAGTATGCTCACTACCCGTGATCTTTCCAATGAAGCTTGCCACTCTGCTCGAAGCATCCCTGTCTTCAGATTTCTCAGCATGCTTTCAGAGTCTGTTACAATTACGACATGGGTATACATCTTGTTTAAGCAAACCAGAGGTTACACTTACTTCTAAAAGAGATTATCCCTCTTAAATGGCAGTGAGCAAACGCTTTGCTGCGTAGCGCCCATATTTTCTCCATTTCTCTTGGGACAGGAAGGCGGAAGACGAAGAAAACAAGGAGGGCAAAGAGAGCCTGGATTGAGAATATCAAGAAACGGACAGGTCTTGTTCAACAAGCGGAAGGCAGAGAAATGTTTCGGGTTTTGTGTGTTAGTACTTCCACCAATACAACAAAATGAAATCTTGGTAAACTTATGCAATATTACTGGTGCTACGCATTATTTTGCAACTGGGGTTCGTTCATTACTTTTTGCCAAGCAATGGAAATGTGGCAGCCTTCACTACTACCACAACAACCACCACCACCACCACTACTACTTTCTTCTTCTTCTTCTTCTTCCCTTTCGTCTTCTTCTCTTTTTTTTTTTTTTGACCTTCTCCTCATCTTTTGTTTTATATTTTATTATTATTTTTCCTAATGAACCCATGCATGCTTACACGCTCACATATTCACATACATAAGCAGTGTCACATAAACATAGTAATGTAAACAACTGATTTATATTGCAGGCACGGCATGCCCAGGAAATCCAGGCCACCGCTGTGGCTTGTATGGCTCCCAGTTACATGAAACCTGCAGATGAAGGTAACGTCCTCATGTTGTTATCTTAAAGTAAAAGTAAAGGACCCTTTTACACGCCTTTAGGTTTAACCTGTATTTTATAGATTTATTTTGGTGCGGCCAACATTACGCCGGTCGATTTTATTTCCCAGGACTGAACCAGGCACCAATTTAAGGCTGGGTTGACTTGGGAGCCAAAGTTTTTATTTTTAACATAGCGGCTCCGTCAGGAACCGAACCCACTACCATCTGATCCGCAAGCGAACATTTAGACCAGCGGTTCTCGAAATGTGGTTTGCGACACTTTTTTGTGGGTCGAACGACCCTTTTACAGGGGTTGCCTTAGAACATCGGAAAATTTATATTAATTACAATTATGAAGAAGCGACGAAAATAATTATGTGGTTTGGAGTCGCCACAATACGTGCAACTATTAAAGGACCGCGGCATTAGGAAGGTTAAAAACCACTGATCTAGACACTAAACCGCAGAACCCCATCTCTTGAAGTATCATTTTATTTTAAAACTAGAACACTGTCTAATTTGAGACGCTTTAGGGCACTGGCTCTCAAGCGTCCTAATGCAGCGACCCTTTAATATAACTTGCTCATGTTGAGGGACGTACAAAATATTAATGTCCTTCATAACTTCAATGAATATGAGTTTTTCAGATCGTTTTAGATGACTCCTGGGAAAGGTTCATTCGACCCCAAACAAGGGTCTCGACCGTGAGGTTGAGAACAGCTGCTTTAGGGGCTAGTGAGCAGTTAGCTGAGGCTACATTAAATGGTTACAGTCTCAAGAGAATGGTGGACATGGTGGACATGATTGACACTCCTCCTCTGCTTCTTCTTCCTTAAGTTCACAAGCTGTGAACTCTGATGCGAAGTCTCAAATTGGCGTTTAAAAAAAAAAGATAAAATGACTGCCCTCGCCAAAACCAGACCACAACGTGTGTGTGAAACTTGTTCTCAAGCCAGCGGAAGACTGCGGTGACTGCCTCTAGCTCCATTCAAAAACTAAATGTTGTGGTGTCATATGCCCGGCTTTGTTTACTAAGCGGCGTCCTTTAACTTTTGCTACGAACCCACACGCACTTCGGGAAATTTCCACTTGCAATTCAGCACACCACATCCTGATGCCTGCAGCTGACCGATGTTTCACTTCATTATTTCAGAGAATATGTGCTTAATTGAAAAGGTGACTGAGAAACAAAACTAAACTTACGTCTAAAACTCGAATGAACTCAGCATAGGTGCAAACCATGTTAACATTTCAAAAACGAAAGCTACTTCCTATCTCACCAACATTCCCACATACATTTGCACACACATGCGCGCGCACATACACACACATTGGTTAACGACATGCTTTAGTTCACATCCGATGAACTCAAAAGAATAAGTAAAATAGCTTATAGTATTTTTTGTACTTTCTTTTTAGCCGATCACGAACAGGAGAAATCACATATCACGGGACAGTCAAGGTAGATTAGGCGTATAGTTTTGGTTAAGGTTATGGCTAGATAAAAGCACGAAACCCTTGGCCATGGAAGAAATGCGCTAAAGCACAGATACCCGCTTAAATATTGGACTATCCAGTGACCTCATTTGTGGTCGGCTAAAAAGAAAGCACTGTATTTTCACAAAACAATCGTGTATCGTATCTAAATTACAGGGATGTGTTGCAACCTGCTCCTGGTAACCAAATCACAGTAAAGATAATCTACAAGTACAAGACAACACAAGACAGACAGCACGCAAAGCAACGCGCCCAAAATTATCAGTTAAAAAAAAAAAGTAAATGTTCTTTTCCACGCCTTTATGCGTATGGGCCATACAGGGCTGGAACTATATTTTTATAGACCAATCGGCAAAAGTTGGGTGATGGGGTCAACATCACGCCGGCCGCCTTTACTTTCCGGGCTTACAGTCGGTACCCACTTAAGGTTGGGTCGACATGGGAGTCAATGTCGTTTATGAAAAACTGTCCGGCTCCGCCAGGAAGCGAACCCACGACCTTCCGATCCGCACGCGAGCGTATAGCCGCTACGCTACGGCGATCCCGCACAAAATAATTGCCCACCATTTTACAGAGCTTTTATGAAAGTAACTGGCGAGAAATACCAAGCTTCAGTGTTTCTCAACGTGGGGCCAACGAGGACGCAATACGAATTTTAGAGAGGCTGAGGTTGGGGAAGGCACAAAAAAGGTTGGGAAATACTGCCTTACTTTATCCGAGTGGATCTCTCGTGTGAGGTTAAATCAGTGGGTACAACTGAATTGCAAAGTTTAAGTCGCTATTCATTAAAACAATCAAGTATGGAATATGGTGACACAACACCCAATATGAAAATCGCGCGAATGCTGTAACGGCTTTTAAAGATGGTTTAAGGGTAGTGAATTTTGAAGAGAGGGAGGGGGGAGGGGGTATGTTGCCCATGGAGGGGTGCGTATTGATAAGATTCAAGTCAGAATCATTTAATTCAATTCTATCCAGGACATACGGACGCGTGTGACCCCCCCCCCCCCCCCCCCCAACTTCTAACGATAAGGTGGATACGGTAAAGGTTCTTAGTGGGGAGAAAGTAGAGGACCCAGGTCAGGGTTCTTCAAACTTGTTCACACCAACCCACTAGCTCAGTTATGAAGAAGACACGCATTGTTTATATACTACATAATGGCATTTGATATTTCAACGCATCCAGATGCTGTGGTAGATTACATAGAGGAAGTTGCTGCTGCTGCTCCGGACACGCCGTTCTACTACTACTGCATTAACTTCATGACAGGCATTTACTGTAAGTATGATTTCTCTTTCTTTTATTAATCTCAGCTTCTAACCAGTTGTTAAATCAGAAGCGCCACTGAGACCACTGCATCAGAAATAGTCCACCCATATTTTGTCGGCATCGGCATGGCGTGAGGAGGTAAACAGGGAAGTACACCGTAACAAGAAACTTTGAGAGGGACGGAGGCAGGGGGAGACCAGTAGGTAGGAAGTTAACAAATGTGGCATCATGGCGCGGAAGAACGTCTAATTCAGAAATGATCATTAGCAAATGATTACCAATTTCATAAGTCATGGACTAGAAGAAAAAATTAAATTCTCATAACAGTACACCAGACTGACAGACAGACAGACAGACAGACAGACAGACAGACAGACAGACAGACAGACAGACAGACAGACAGCCACAGGACAGACAGACAGACAGACAGACAGACAGACCGACCGACCGACCGACCGACCGACCGACCGACCGACCGACCGACTGACCGACCGACCGACCGACCGACCGACTAGGTAGGTAGTAGCCGATAGGTAGGTAGGTAGGTAGGTAGGTAGGTAGGATAGATAGATAGATAGATAGATAGATAGATAGATAGATAGATAGATAGATAGATAGATAGATAGATAGATAGATAGATAGATAGATAGATAGATAGATAGATAGATAGATAGATAGATAGATAGATAGATAGATAGATAGATAGATAGATAGATAGATAGATATAGATAGATAGATAGATAGATAGATAGATAGATAGATAGATAGATAGATAGATAGATAGATAGATAGATAGATAGATAGATAGATAGATAGATAGATAGATAGATAGATAGATAGATTAGATAGATAGATAGATAGATAGATGTGGAGGTAGGCATAAAAATCAATCTCAAACAATTCTTTCACTTTTGCATTGTCATTAACCACCATGACCGTATCACTCCCCTGCCTCTCCCACAATACCTTCACAGGATTGCCGCTTGTATCAGGGTAGCACTTGGTTAGTCAGCTGCCTGTGTCATTTGTTTGTAACGCCCTAAGATGTTGTAGGGGTATCTTGTCCAGACAGTTATTATAGCATAAATGTGAAAAAAGACCCTATTCCAAGCCTTTAAACGTATAGGGCATATAGGGCTAGACCAATATATTTTTTTAAAGACATATCGGCACATGATGGGCGATGTGGTCAGCGTCACGCCGGCCGCCTCTACCTCCCGGGACTGCAACCGGTACCAACTCAAGGCTGGGTCGACCTAGGGGCCAAGTTCATTTTTTAAAAAAAGTCCGGCTCTGCAGGGAGCAAACCCACGACCTTCCGATCAAAGGCGAGCGTCAAGCCGCTCCGCCACGGTGACTACCTCTTTTTAGCATACCGATTATGAAATCAATTGTTGCTTGACTTTACAAAATCTGTGTTTCAGTGAACACAGCAAAAGTCCTGGAGCTAGCGGATGGCCGAATCCCTAACCTGAGAGGTGCCAAGGTGTCTTCCCGGGAGCTGCCTCTGATCCTGGACTGTACTTTAGCCGCAGGAGGCAAATTTGACATCCTTTCTGGAACAGACGAGGTGGGAACATCCTAGGGGGATCCTTTTCCGAACTTTAGTGTTGATTTCATGTTGTTTTGTCAGCTCCATTTACAGTAAGTAAAGTAACGCTAGGACTATTTTTTACGCTATCGGTGCGTCCAACGTATGATGTTAGACTGATAATTATATAAGCCTATGGCCACTGTCGGCTCTGTGGGTAAGTCGATGCCGGGATGCCGGATTCAATCCCAGCTGCGGGCCATGCGGTTTGCGTTTTTTTCGACATTGGTATTAAGAAAGCCGACAGTCCAGGAAGCAATGGCAAACTACTGGACGTAAATTGCCTAGAAAAACAACACAACAGCCAGGGGCTGTTGGGTTGGTTCAGCAACGTCCTGTCAAGGATACACAACAACCTATAGGCACTTGCTGGATGATGTGGACAGCAACATCACGGTCGGTATTACTACCATGTTGTGTTTTTTTTTATCTACTTTTAAGCTGTGGCTACCTAGTAGTTATGGTCAAATAAAAACAAAACATACGACTCAATGCGAAATCGAACTAAATCTGGCCTGGTAGACGAGTGTCTAGTCGGTGCGCTACAGTGCACCCCAAGCAGCATTTAATATACATATGCACATCATTATCAGATGTACTATACTGGTAACGTTGTACTTTTCAGGTATCATATGTAATGTTTAGTAACATTATACTGTCAGTGAACTACTTTTTACATGAAAGAATTAGCCAGCTGTGAATACGGAACACGCAGTCACCCCAGTTCTTATGATTGCTCTGTATTCTTTTGACTGAGATTTGGGTTCTGGCCCAAAGATTTCAGAGGTTAGCTTTAGACGCACCGCTGTGTTTGTGATACAGGTAGGGCTGAATATTTTGCACCGTCTGTGTCCAATGCAGTTGAAGTAGAAGAAACACATCAAGGAACACCAAAGTATGTACTCTCGATTTCAAAAGTTGTGTCTATGCCAAAGCTTTTTTTTTTCCTCGGCTGCTAACTAAAGATTTGACCACTCATGCTACTTCAAGAGTTACATTTTATACCGTCACTCTCTACACCTCATGCCTAAAAGTTTCTTTGTCTTTAGTTAGTTCTCTAGCCCCATGTGGTTTCAAAGTTAGTCCTCGAAGTAAGATCTTTGAAATTATTTTTTACCCGTGCGGGTTCAGGGGTCCCATTGTGAGGAAAAAAAAAGAATAGACCCACTGCCTGCCCAAAAGCATGTCGTAAGAGTCGACTAATTGGGAGCTTCCTTCGAAGTCGGAGTACATCAGCCTCAGATGCAAGGAACCAACAGTTTACCTGTAAAACGAATGTTCAGGCAACACTCATTTGTGGAACAGGACTAGAGTCCACAAGTGGACGAACAACCTGAAATTTTCAGCCGGAGTTTAAAGCCGGTGAACGAGAAGAAGACGAAGATTTGAGCGCGCGCGCGCGCGCGTGTGTGTGTGTGTGTGTGTGTGTGTGTGTGTGTGTGTGTGTGTGCTTCCGTTTAGTTTTTAGGGCTAGGGATATATAATGTGACAGTCTGCCTTTGTTCTCCGAGCATCTCAGCCGTCAGCAGTCGTGTTAAATTGCCGGGGTAAGGGAATGCGCTTCTCTGTGACGCTTTCACTGTTTCATCATCATCATGATCATGTAGCAGGTCCTTTGCAGAACGTCGCTCTCAACACAGTCTGCCTGACAGAAACTCGGTCTCTCGCCAGTTCTCCCACCTCATGTACTTTCATACTCAAAGATTTAATTATCGCTGTTGAACCTCATTTAAAGGTCTCATTTTCACGTTTTTAGCCATAATGAAAATATAGGGCTAGACCTATATTTTTATAGACCAATCAGCACTTGGTGGACGCATCACGCCGGCCGCCTTTACTCCCCAGAACTACACCAGGTATCCACTCAAGACTGGGTCGACCTGGAAGTCCTCATATGAGGTTATAATTATGACAAGCAGAAAAACGAGAATTTGTATTCATGACAGGAATCTTGATGTATCTTTACAGCTGGTAACACTAATCTTTATTTGTGTATCTGTTTCTAGCAACTGCTGACCACACTTGCGTTAGGAGTCCGGACACCAATAATAAACGGATTTCTGGGTCCCTTATTTGCGAGGCTGAGAGACGCCTTTGATAAAGGAGACATAGAGACTGCGAGAAAAGAGCATATTGCCGCCAGAAAACTGGCTATTATCATGGGCAAATACGGTAAGATTTACACGTTGCATCAAGCTAAGTGCAAAAGATTCTCTCTCTCTCTCTCTCTCTCTCTCTCTCTCTCTCTCTCTCTCTCTCACACACACACACACACACACACACACACGCGTATACACACAAACATGCACAAACACACACCGATTTCCACTGCAGTCATGTGACGTGACGCGGTGGATTAAATGTTTTATAAGTTGAGTAAGGATTTTCCTCTCAACACATTCCCACCACCCGATTGACCGAACTAAAATCCAAGCTATGTTGCTCTCAGACAAAGTCCTGGATATCCAAGAAAACAGCCGTATTGGCTCGTTAAGTACATTAACATTAGCTGAACTTGGTACCCACAAGAGAAGGAAAGGAATTTTAGATGTCTATTGCATTATACTGAATGAATTATTAGACAGGGCAAATGATTCCTCCGTCTTCTACCTTCTCCCGGTGTTATTATGAATAATTAAAGAATTATTATATTATTTGAGTTCCCACCAAATGTAAGTCTTTCTTAACAGTTTAGCTGAACGTGTAAGAACAGATACATTTGGAATTACAAAAACTGATGCAGGATAAGACCATATATTTGATTTATTAACCTAGCAATCAGTGGATGACATTAGCCATCATTATTATTATAATAGACAGTGATGGTATGGTGGTAATGAGATGACTCAGCTAGATAACTGAGCACCTAAGATTAGAGTGAATGGATAATGGTGGTGATAAGTTTACATCCATAAAACATGGTGAGACGTAACTTTATTATCATAGAACCTCTGACAGCCGTGGGTACTGTCAAGTTCTTCCACCTTTTCCTCCCAGTTCTCCTGGTCCTCCACCTCGGTCCCTGCTCGTCCCCACCTCGTTCTCCACCTCGTTTCCAGCTGGCCGAGTCTAACACAATGAAGTCTCCTTCATGGACTGATCGTCACATGGGCGCTGTAATCATGGAAACAAACACATAGTATCTTGACTTACACTAAGAATACATGTATCAATTAATATAACATATAATAATCAAATATATCCCATAACTTCTCCTCATATTCAACATTCTCTCCAGTCTCGTCTGAAGGTCTTTTGTCTTACATGGACGTCACATATACTGACTTCCCTCTCATGCTATGTCATGATAGTTGACTTTCTAAGTCTGTTGTCCGTCATCACTCAGAAATCGAATTGGCTGACATTGATTTGACATAAACATGTGGCTCAGGTTATGTGCTGAACACGCAAACAATTTATATGTGCACGCTGTCCTGAACATTATCTTTCAGTGACCGTGAATTCTATACACCCATCATTCTTCCCCTGGGGTTATAAATCCCCTGTTTAGGTGAACACATTAAGTGAGCACATGGTGGGCACACAAACGTAACAGCATCCCTGCACATATTTGGGCATCATCTCCCCCAGTCCAAACTCATGTTTTGGTTGATGGTTGAAACATTATAATTTTATTATAATCCAGTATACAAGTCTTATTTTATAAACATGAAAACATATACTGAAAAACATGTGACACACACATTCAAGAAATAGGAATAGTTTAGCAGTTCCCTAACTTGAGATACTGAATACTCACAAAGAACTATTTCAAGCAGAATGTGTAGACAAATTAGGAAAAAGTAGTATAGACTAAGCTTAATTCCTTAACCTATGTATAAACTATTGAAAATAAAATTTACTCATACCTGGGAACTTTCCATCAATCGCCAAACCAGAATCCGACCGTAAAATTGCCTTTACGCCGACCTGTGTTTGTTGCTTGCCAGCTGCGATGTGACGGGAATTCCAAAGGCTCGAAGTATACTGTCTATCTGTCTCAAAGGTTAAACTCCTCCCTTTACTCGGTTCTACCCAACCCTCAAGACGATGACTTAAGCCACGCCTCTGAGGTACCTATCAGATCAAATTAGCTAATAAGTGGCCTGTCACTCAAGGTGAACGGCCTTGACCAGTGCTTGGACAACTTAATTGGCAAACACCTGTTCTCTTGAGAATTTCACTGACGTGTTAAACTTCAACCTCTCGTCGCCACAACGTCTACCAGTCCACTTAATTCCCCTGATCTAGTCTCATCAAAAGGAGCCCCACTCAGTCTGTGTTAGGTAACCTTTATGCCACTAAGGTCCAGCTCAGGGAAGCTAATCTCAGGTGCGATACTAAGTTCCCCGTTCGCTGGCCTCTACAGTCTGTGGTCAGGAGATAACATTCTGACACTGGCATGAGAATCAAACCTAACATCCCTAGTCTGAACCAGCGGGCTGTATTACGTAGTGTTATGTAATTTTAAACAAAGCGCAGAGGCTTTGTCTCGGAGAAGGACTGGTAACAATTAAATCCGTGCGGTTTAAAGTAACATTTGGGTTAAGGACACAGTCTCTTGTCTCTCAATAACCAGAAGAACTATTACAAGTACTCAACTTCTGGAACCACTGAGATCGTTTCGTGACAAGTCATAACATAAATGTTAAAGTAATACTATAGAACCTGTGTTATTATATGCGTGTGAGATATAGACAATAAGCAGACAAAGTGAAAAACTTCTGCTGACAGCAGGGATGTGGTTTTTGGAATAAAATGCAAATATTACAACAAAGTAATCATAGCAAAACACAGTAAAACATTCCTTTCGGAGGCAGATAAAGATCATCAACTGATTAGAGAGATTAGACAGTGCCGTTCGGACATGTTATGAGAAGGAAGGAACACATTGGAGAACTTGGTTGTCGGGGTTTTTCTTGCACTTCTCGCGTGGCTTGCGGCGTCCGTGGCTAAGGCGTTGCGAGTCCGACTCGTAATTCAAACATACCGCGATCGAAATCCACTGCTGGCTTCGTGGATTTGTATCATGGTATGGGGCGTCGCAGGTTGACCCAACCTAAAATGGGTGCTAGAATGGCTGTCCTGTGGAAGTTTAGACGGCCGGCGTAATGCTGACCACATTACCCACCTCAGTGCCGATTGGTCTTTACAAATATGGGACGTTCTTCCCGTATGTCCGATGCATCTAAGGCGTGAAAAGGGATCTCTACTTTACTTACTTTGACTCTCATGTGGCTTGAGTGATGGATTTTTTAATCTTTTTTGCAGGTTTCTGCTACACAGTGTATCCACATCCTAAAAACTTCAAATAATAGATTTAAAAAAAAAAATTATGAGATGACCGACTTAATTGCGAACTCATCAGGTAATGGCAGTTCCAAAATCACAGCAAACAGGTCACACAATAGTTGTCTCTTCTTATGTCAGCGAAAGCCATACATAATTAGTTCCTTGCGGCGGAAAATTGATACACACTGCAGTCGCCATAAAGTTAACAGTATACACACGCATTAAATGGACAAGGCAGACATCAGAAGTGTTTCATACAACATATCTCCGTCTCTCTATGCAAAGCGGATGTTCGCCCTCTGAGAAATCTTACAAAGCATAATTCTCCATAGCTACAGCGACTGCCTCCGAGGATCTCGAAACACCCTCATTAGCGAACCGAAAACCGGATACCAATATCGAGCCAGTTCACAAAGGCACGTTAAAAAGTTTTACAGTTTGTCACAGAGACCCCACGGTGTCTAATAATGGCAAACCCTGATTTTGTTACATGTAAATTAACTCTTATTTCTTGATGATGTTTGCATGTATTCATAAAACACAACAGGTTCAGGACCTTCGGGTGTCAAAGCTTTCTTCAAATGTCTGGGGTTGGATCTGGGACCAGTCCGTCTACCAGTAAAAAACCTGCCTGCAGATCGTCTACCTGCACTGAAAAGAGAGTTAGCTGAGTGCGGCCTGGACACCAGGTAGAACTTGTCAAGGAAATGACCCTGTCGTGCACTGGCTGTATCGTCTTTTATTTCTGCATTTACCTCAGCAAAGTGATGGAGAAAATGGCGGTGTAGAGGAAATGATGGGGGGGGGGGGGGGATTATTGTTAGAAAGTGGTCTAAATTTTTTCTTCTTCTGCGTTCGACATCAGTCATGCTAAAAATTGAGTCCCGTCTGGGTCAAAAATAGGATTGTGCGTTTAAGGTCGCCACCGGTCCCCCATAGCTTCTCTCGCAATGTGGATCCCCTGGGCCAGATCCACAGTCTTTGCTGTGAGAGGTAAGGGCAGTACTGCCGTATGTGCTCAGAAGTCTGTCCTTCTGCTCCACAATCACAGGCACCAGATTCTTTTATGCCTATCCCGTACAGGTGTGCTCTAAAATGGCCTAAAGAAAAACATCATGCAGTGACTGCCTTTATGTGTTGAGTTCTCTAATGCATCTTAGCAGCAATTTATGTCTTTAGTTAACCATATGTCCTTTTCTCTCTCCCTCTATCTATCCCTCTCTTTCCCTCTCTATCCCTCTCTATCCCTCTCTTGCTCTCTTTCTCTTTCTCTCTCACTCTCTCGTTTCTGTGTCTCTCGCTGGCTCTCCGTTTTTCATGAGAGAAAGTAAAACTACATTGCAGTCCTACACATTATTGCGTTTTAGTCACTACAGTAACACAGTGTACCCTTTGTCTATTATAGAACTGCACATCGAATGTACATCCTCGATGAAGTTTGAAACTGAAATAAATTCTATTGTAATTCCACAATAGTTCCTAGAGCTTTCCTTGTTTTTTTTTTTTTTTTTTAATTTCTATTTTTTTTTCCTTCTGGTTTGTGTCTCTGTGTGTATGTGTGTGTGCTCGTGTGTGTGTCTGTCTGTGCGTATGTGTATGTTTGTGTTTGTGACATTATTAAATTTCTTTTCGTAATACAATAAAAACGAGACAGATTCACCAAAGTTCGAAGTAAAGCACAGACGTTCGCTGGCCACTTTTAGCTGCAAGCAAACAAGCATATATTTTGGGAGAAACTGCGTGCCAGCCGTTTATCACTTCGGGGGATTTAAAAGTAAACAATTTAGTAGTGTATCCTTTACAGGACGTTTCAAAACCAACCCCAGCATATTTGGTTGTTATGGTTTTTATAAGCAAATGTTAGGTTCAGTAGCCAGCCCTCGGTACCAGTGTCGAAACCAACCCCAGCATATTTGGTTGTTATGGTTTTTATAAGCAAATGTTAGGTTCAGTAGCCAGCCCTCGGTACCAGTGTCGAAACCAACCCCAGCATATTTGGTTGTTATGGTTTTTATAAGCAAATGTTAGGTTCAGTAGCCAGCCCTCGGTACCAGTGTCGAAAACCAACCCCCAGAATATTTTGGCTGTTATGGTTTTTATAAGCAAATGTTAGGTTCAGTAGTCAGCCCTCGGTACCAGTGTCGAAACCAACCCCAGCATATTTTGGCTGTTATGGTTTTTATAAGCAAATGTTAGGTTCAGTAGTCAGCCCTCGGTACCAGTGTCGAAACCAACCCCAGCATATTTTGGCTGTTATGGTTTTTATAAGCAAATGTTAGGTTCAGTAGTCAGCCCTCGGTACCAGTGTCGAAACCAACCCCAGCATATTTGGTTGTTATGGTTTTTATAAGCAAATGTTAGGTTCAGTAGTCAGCCCTCGGTACCAGTGTCGAAACCAACCCCAGCATATTTTGGCTGTTATGGTTTTTATAAGCAAATGTTAGGTTCAGTAGCCAGCCCTCGGTACCAGTGTCGAAACCAACCCCAACATATTTGGTTGTTATGGTTTTTATAAGCAAATGTTAGGTTCAGTAGCCAGCCCTCGGTACCAGTGTCGAAACCAACCCCAGCATATTTTGGCTATGGTTTTTATAAGCAAATGTTAGGTTCAGTAGCCAGCCCTCGGTACCAGTGTCGAAACCAACCCCAGCATATTTGGTTGTTATGGTTTTTATAAGCAAATGTTAGGTTCAGTAGCCAGCCCTCGGTACCAGTGTCGAAACCAACCCCAGCATATTTGGTTGTTATGGTTTTTATAAGCAAATGTTAGGTTCAGTAGCCAGCCCTCGGTACCAGTGTCGAAACCAACCCCAGCATATTTGGTTGTTATGGTTTTTATAAGCAAATGTTAGGTTCAGTAGCCAGCCCTCGGTACCAGTGTCGAAAACCAACCCCAGCATATTTGGTTGTTATGGTTTTTATAAGCAAATGTTAGGTTCAGTAGCCAGCCCTCGGTACCAGTGTCGAAACCAACCCAGCATATTTGGTTGTTATGGTTTTTATAAGCAAATGTTAGGTTCAGTAGCCAGCCCTCGGTAACAGTGTCGAAACCAAAACCCCAGCATATTTTGGCTGTTATGGTTTTTATAAGCAAATGTTAGGTTCAGTAGCCAGCCCCTCGGTACCAGTGTCGAAACCAACCCCAGCATATTTGGTTGTTATGGTTTTTATAAGCAAATGTTAGGTTCAGTAGCCAGCCTCGGTACCAGTGTGTCGAAACCAACCCCAGCATATTTGGTTGTTATGGTTTTTATAAGCAAATGTTAGGTTCAGTAGTCAGCCCTCGGTACCAGTGTCGAAACCAACCCCAGCATATTTTTGGCTGTTATGGTTTTTTATAAGCAAATGTTAGGTTCAGTAGCCGCCCTCGGTACCAGTGTCGAAACCAACCCCAGCATATTTGGTTGTTATGGTTTTTATAAGCAAATGTTAGGTTCAGTAGCCAGCCCTCGGTACCAGTGTCGAACCAACCCCAGCATATTTGGTTGTTATGGTTTTTTATAAGCAAATGTTAGGTTCAGTAGCCAGCCCTCGGTAACCAGTGTCGAAACCAACCCCAGCATATTTGGTTGTTATAGTTTTTATAAGCAAATGTTAGGTTCAGTAGCCAGCCCTCGGTACCAGTGTCGAAACCAACCCCAGCATATTTGGTTGTTATGGTTTTTATAAGCAAATGTTAGGTTCAGTAGTCAGCCCTTCGGTACCAGTGTCGAAACCAACCCCAGCATATTTGGTTGTTATGGTTTTTATAAGCAAATGTTAGGTTCAGTAGCCAGCCCTCGGTACCAGTGTCGAAACCAACCCCAGCATATTTGGCTGTTATGGTTTTTATAAGCAAATGTTAGGTTCAGTAGCCAGCCCTCGGTACCAGTGTCGAAACCAACCCCAGCATATTTGGCTGTTATGGTTTTATAAGCAAATGTTAGGTTCAGTAGCCAGCCCTCGGTACCAGTGTCGAAACCAACCCCAGCATATTTGGCTGTTATGGTTTTTATAAGCAAATGCTAGGTTAGTAGTCAGCCCTCGGTACCAGTGTCGAAGCCAACCTCAGCATATTTGGTTGTTATGGTTTTTATAAGCAAATGTTAGGTTCAGTAGCCAGCCCTCGGTACCAGTGTCGAAACCAACCCCAGCATATTTGGCTGTTATGGTTTTTATAAGCAAATGTTAGGTTCAGTAGCCAGCCCTCGGTACCAGTGTCGAAACCAACCCCAGCATATTTGGTTGTTATGGTTTTTATAAGCAAATGTTAGGTTCAGTAGCCAGTTCCCTCCCCCCCCTCGGTACCAGTGTCGAAACCAACCCCAGCATATTTGGTTGTTATGGTTTTTATAAGCAAATGTTAGGTTCAGTAGCCAGCCCTCGGTACCAGTGTCGAAACCAACCCCAGCATATTTGGTTGTTATGGTTTTTATAAGCAAATGTTAGGTTCAGTAGCCAGCCCTCGGTACCAGTGTCGAAACCAACCCCAGCATATTTTGGCTGTTATGGTTTTTATAAGCAAATGTTAGGTTCAGTAGCCAGCCCTCGGTACCAGTGTCGAAACCAACCCCAGCATATTTGGTTGTTATGGTTTTTTTTATAAGCAAATGTTAGGTTCAGTAGCCAGCCCTCGGTACCAGTGTCGAAACCAACCCCAGCATATTTGGCTGTTATGGTTTTTATAAGCAAATGTTAGGTTCAGTAGCCAGCCCTCGGTACCAGTGTCGAAACCAACCCCAGCATATTTGGCTGTTATGGTTTTTATAAGCAAATGTTAGGTTCAGTAGCCAGCCCTCGGTACCAGTGTCGAAACCAACCCCAGCATATTTGGTTGTTATGGTTTTTATAAGCAAATGTTAGGTTCAGTAGCCAGCCCTCGGTACCAGTGTCGAAACCAACCCCAGCATATTTGGTTGTTATGGTTTTTATAAGCAAATGTTAGGTTCAGTAGCCAGCCCTCGGTACCAGTGTCGAAACCAACCCCAGCATATTTGGTTGTTATGGTTTTTATAAGCAAATGTTAGGTTCAGTAGCCAGCCCTCGGTACCAGTGTCGAAGCCAACGCAAGACAACGTTCGCAGCTGGGATTGAACCCGGAGCCGTGGCATTAAAGAGTGCATTCATAAGGCCTAAGCCACATACACATCCGGGTTAATAGGGAAAAACTTAACACCCTCAGATCAGAAGACGCCAACCTGGATAACAGACCAACAGGACCGTAGGACTAGAATTTAAAATAAAAAATCTTAGTGCTGACGGCAGACGAATGCGGCAAGCTCAGATACCTCGTTAAACCACTAACAAAGTTATAATCAGAGCACTTGTAATGGTCACACCAACCCGGTATATGCTGAAGTTCTGTGCAGGTAAGGATGATGAGAAAGTAGCAAAGGAAAGACTTACACATTTTCTCACTTAGCCGATCCTCTTGTACCTGGGGTGTAGAGGTTTGCCAGAGTTCTCTATCAGCAGTTTTCATTTTGGTTTTGCTCCGTTCGAGTCCTCTGTTAGTCGGGAACTGTCGAATGTTGTCTTCCCACCGAACCCTGGGACCTTCCTGGTGGTATGATTCCCTCGTTCTTGGCCTCCCATGCTTGCCGTGGCAGCCGATTTTCTCCTATTCTGCATATATGTCCAAACCATTGTAGCTGTGACTGATCAACTAGAGTTTTTGAGGCTTGTGTTTAAAGCTTCTGATGTGTTGTCTAATTTCGGACTTTGTCCCTTCTTGTCACTTGGGGCACCTCTCTCAGATACCTCATTTCTGAGGCCTGAAGGTGGTTACTGTGAGCTGTTGTCATTGCCTATAACTCACATCTATATGTTAGGACTGGCACATAGATAGAGGGATATAAGTACATTGTAGCAAAAGAAAGACAAAGGACCAAATGCTTAGATGTGTATGGACAGGTACAATATTACAAAAAGTTACATCAACATACAAATTAGTAGGTAGTTAGTTTGCCCCAACAGATGGAAGATGTCTGGAAGAAGTTAAAGTTTGATGCTCAACCAAAGGAAACATTTTACGAAATGAAGAATACTCTATGCAATTTTTCTTTGTCAATCGAGACGAGAAAGATAATTCTCAAGAGCTACATCTACCATGCTAAATGAAAGGGAGTCATGGACAGTTAGACGATAGCAAAACATTATTCGGAAGCTGCAGAGATGTGATTAAATGGACAAACGAAGAGAATACCTTAGAGAAGTGGTCGGCAAATCGCGGCTTGCGAGCCTCATGAGTTTCTTTAGCGACCTGAGTGCGGCTCGACCTGTTGGCCACAAATCGGTTTTGATTCCTAGAAACACGGTTCTTAACAGATTCTTAAAAAGAAATTTGGTTCTCCAAAAAATTGTAATCGCCCTGATGCTGATTTTTGGCTCTATCTGCAAAAGAGTTCACCGACCCCTGCCCTAGACGGATAAACCGAGTCATGAAGGTGTCTCCCCCCCCCCCCCCCCCTTCCCTGAAAAAAAGAAAAACCAACCTGCAAAGAGAACCGATTGCCCACATCACAAGGACACCGTCTACATTCTTCTTGTCATGAAAGGAGAAAAGTAGAGTACATCTTGACGGTTGGAGAGTAGGAGGGGGAAAGGTGTAGAGAGAGAAAGACAGAGAAGATGCTAGACAGTTCAATATCATGGCATAGAAGATCATCTGTGTCAGAACTAATTGAAAGAACAGAACAAAATGTTGTCGATAGACATGGCTACCGACACCACACGTCATGGACTATAAGAAGAAGCAGTTGATTCCCTCTAGGATTGTAGCCTGCAGCATAAACACTTCAAGATGGGCATCGAACAGGTAATCCCTCAAATGCCTTTCACATATCAATTATATTAGATCCACCGACAGTTACCTAGTAGGTAGGTATGTAATTGTACCCCACCAGGACATCGCACAAACACTAAACACCCGGTGACACAAAGTGCCACCATGCGGATGAGGATTACCCGTGGAGAGGTCCCGGAAACCGCGTTCAGCCGCTAGGCCATATTTCAGGACCGGCTTAATTTAGGGCTTTAAAATAAATTGCATCTCACAAAGGAATGATGAGATAGTTACCTAGTAATGTAAAGCTAGAACCGGACTAAGGGCGCATGTTTGAATATTCAGTGTAGATATTTAGTTAGAAACTTCCGTTATTTGTGTATAAAAATGAGCATGTTGTGTGTGGATGTCAACAGGTCCGAGCTCTACCAAGAAATATGTCGAACATGTGTGCACGAATTTGAATTATGTAATGCAGGCTACGCAACTTAAAAAAAAAAAAAGAGACATTTATGTATTTTCGAGTAATCTCCCTTTTTAAATGTTTTATAATAATAATAATAATAATAATAATAATAATAATAATAATAATAATAATAATAATATTAATAAATATTATTATTGTAGCAAAAATGTATATGCTTTCTGACTCTTTTGCTTCACGATGACGATGATCGACAACACTTGTGTGACGTGTTATTTCTACACATATAACTGAACATTCTTCATTTATGAGAATATCGGATGCAGAAATTGATATCGATGAAGTAAAACAAATCAAGTAATGACACAGCCAATCCACTATAGTCTCAATCAGCACCCAGACTTATTGCATTAGGTAAAGCTGTAGAGCACATATGGCATTTGAATGTTCCATGATATACTTCTTTGAAACATACTAAAACAATAAAGCATGAACCATTTTAAAAGTTTCCATATTGGGAAAATTATTTATTTTTCTTACATCTGGCCCTAGTAGCAGTAGCAGATTTTCTACCCCACCATACAAGCGATAAACAACCCGACGGACATAAGGCCAAAGTGATCTATACTGTGCGGTCCCCGCTCAGGCATTAGCCAGAGTATGAGTTCCAGTTACGAAAAATTGCATCTCACAAGAAGATGATTGAATGTGCCTATAATCCGGCCCTGCGTCACAACGAGGCATGAATGGGAAGGGAAGTCCCTCTCTTTCTGGGCAGAAAACGTTACTATATATATAACCACTTTTTTAAATAAAAGATATTACATAAGTAATCAAGCGTGTGTCGACATTCAACGCTGTGTGCATAGAGTGTAACACATAAACCACATCCACAAACACACACACTAATATACACCTATATATAGGTCACACTCGTTTTCACCATGGGCTTAAACTCCAGTGTCTCGCTTGGCATAATATCACCCTATCGATGGAAAGATGGAAGGGCGCCAACAGTACATATATACTTCCACACTGTAAATCCGGACCCAACGAAAAGACAGGCGACTGTTCACTGACAGTCCATGTAAAAGAACCTCCTTAGCTCCGGATTGGCCCACGGTCCTGGTCCGCAAGGATTGCACTCTCTTGGCGGCGGACACCGACCTTGAGGCAGAGGAGGCCACGGGTCAGTAGGTCGTGCAGTATCTGGGGATGACCGGCACAATTGCTCATGACTGTTTTTAAATTTGGGTAATGTTTCGTTCCCCCTTATCCCTCCCATATACACTCCAGCTCACTTCTGATTGCTAGGCCTTGAGCCACGTGACCTTGGCACAAAGTTACGGGGGTGTTCTGCAATGCCGTCGATTTCGCGTGTTGTATATTTCAGCACGTCAGCGCTTTTAACACTCCAAAAACATCAACAAACTAGAGAGTGCTGCAACCTATGTCACAGGCATTCTCTTTTTCGGAATAAAATCGTAAAGGCAAGACAACACAGAAAGCAAACAGAGTGACACACCCATAACATGCAGGACAGTAGACCAGCCCAACAAACTTGTGAATGAAGCGTGACCTACTTTGTTTTGGGAGACTAATTTAAACCTAACCCAAATTTATCCAAGTGCAAGAGAACCTTTTTATCATCATCATTTATTTGAATTGGCAAATTTCAACCGCTACCTAGGCAGCTACCCTCTCTTAGATAGCGTTAGTTATAATTGTGGCTCCTCTTCCTAGCGTTATTTCATTACGTACCTCTTAGTGGTTCTTGCCTCCAATGTCCGTCGAGCAAGGTTTTCTGCATGTTGTTTGATGGGCCGTCATCTTAGTGCTGACTTATTAGTTGTATGCTCGCCATGTTACCGGATTATAAGGTATCTACCACTGGTTGCTGTCCTCTGTTACATTTTTATAATGTGTCTGCTAATGTGGTAAATCTGACAACCTTTTTACGAATGTGTGTGTTTATATTTAATATTAGAGAACGAGAGAGAGAGAGAGGGAGAGAGAGAGAGAGAGAGAGAGAGAGAGAGAGAGAGAGGGGGGGGGAGAGGGAGAGAATAAATAAGGGAAAGAGTGTATGTGTCTTATGGTATAAAAGGAAGCTATTTATACTGTACTACACACTTGCTGGTATACAGGAACGTCTTACATTCATTAGTGTACATAAAAGTCCTACTTTACATTCACTTGTATGTAAACAAGTCTTAGATGGCCGCGTTAGCGCAGTCGACAGGAGACTCGCTTTCCCAGGATTCACCCACCCCCTAGGTAATGGGTACAAGAGTTACCACTCTGGGGTAAATGGAGGAACATCGCTGGAGCTACAGAGCTGCGACACAGACGGACAGTTTCTTATTAGTTGTGCAAACTCGTGGCAGAGCACATATGGTTTATAACCGTATGCAATGACGCTGGTTAACATCTCCCGACTTTACCTTTACCTTTTTTTACTTTTGTAAAAAGGTCTAATATTTCATATGTACAAGATTCATTCTGACGCTATATAACAGTTCTGTGAATAACAATGAAGTAAAGTATTCTGTAAACCAGGGCTATTTAACTCGCGGCCCGTGGGCCACCTCTGGCCCGTGTAGGCCTATCAAGTGGCCCTCGGATCATTGCGAGATGCCAGTTTTATTGTACTTTTTATGCTGAGCTCGGTCTTCATGCCCCTGATGATGAGCTGTTTCCAAAACGTCAGCCCCCCTTAGCTAAACAGCCCTGCTATGAACCATTTGCGTTCTGTGGGAGATGTGGTCAACACCAAACGGGTTGCCTCTACTTCCCATGACATAACCCATATTTTTGGGTTGGGTCGACTGGGAGTCATGGTCAATTTTTTCTGTACACAACCCTTTTCGATGCTGATTCGACCCTAAGACCTTGGAACCAGCATGTGAACATTTAGCCGCTACGCTAATGCAACTCACTTTACATCGATTAATCAAATTGTCCCCTCCGTATTGCTACCTTTATGTTTAGCACTCCATCCCGAGATTTAAAAATCTCAGTGCAGACGACAGACCAACAAGGTTGATCTCAGATACCCGCTTCAACCTTCAAGGAAGCTCTAATTAAGGCACTTCTAACAGCGACACCAGACAAGGGTAACCTACAGTCCCCATGCCGGTAAAACGACTCCCGGTAATAATAAAATGTAGGACCCTTTTCCACGCCTTCGGGCTTGTTGGGTATATAGGGTTAGACCTATATTTTAGAGACCAAAACGGCACTTGGTGGCTGACATAGTCATCATAACGCCGGTCACAATTACTTCACAGGACTGTACTTCGTACCTAGTCAAGGCTGGGTCGACCTGGGTTCCAAGGTCCTTTAGGAAAAACGTCCGGACATTCTCAGGACGCGAACCACAACTTACCGATCTGCTGTCGAGCGTCTAGCCGCTAGACCACAACGGCCTTCCTGTTAATAATGAAATAAATATTTTAAAAATCTTTTGCATTTTAAACTCCTCACCTTGTGCAGGGACTACTGATGTCTTTTTGTGTCCAGGCAGATCTGGGATGTGATCGCAATAACTGAAAAACATATGCAAGATATTATTGTGTATGTCCAGTGACTCGTCAAATAATCACTCATTTTATGCATATTAAAGGGTAATTTAAACAATAAACTTTGATTTTCGATGAACTGGTAAACAAATAAAATAAGTGCCTGCATTAAATCATTAATAAAGTAATTGCAGATTGTTTGTAAATATGATATTTGTTTAGTGGATTTTTTTAAAGGTCCATACTGGCATTGTTTTCCCTCTTTCCGAGCGGCTCCATGGTTGTGACAGGGCATTCAATTAACACAGTCACTCCGCATGCTGATAGATTTTGCTGGTAAGGCTCCAGGGAGAGTGGATACATCGTCGACCACGCTGAGGAAAATAATTGCGGGTCGCCACACTATGAGGGAACTGTATTAAATGAGAGCCATTGTTTTACAGAGGAGCGAATCCGAGCACTATATGGACTGAATGATTCGATATGCGATAAGATTTATCTGGTGACAAACCAACTAACTCTTAGTGTCACAAAGTGCTCTAGTTAGTTCTCCCTGTATCGTGATGTTCCAAGAGGAGATATGCAGATGAGATTGATATATTCTTAGTATAGTGAACCCCGGGAAAGCGAGTCTCCTGTCGACTGCGCTAACGCGGCCATCTAAGACTTGTTTACATATCCTATAAATGATGCAATCGCCTGTGGTATTCTTAAGTGATTTGTTTTAATACATTTTTAGTATGTCTTTAATACATCACCCATCTAATTTTATCAATGATGATTTATACTTAAACACATCTTCAAAAGAAAATTTTAAAGAACCTAGTAAAGTGGGTGGGTGGTGGTGGGGGGGGGGGGGGGGGGGGCGGAGAGAAGTTATAATAAAAAAAAAAGGTAGGATATAGGTCATGGTCTATATTTCAATGGTCGTTAACATTAAGAGACTTACAACCAAAAGGCCATTGCGGGCAGTACACGATCTTCTGCTTCCGGTGGCATGTATGCTTGCCAGTTGTCATAGCTGTAACAGAGAATATTAGATATGTATGTTATGTGTGTGGGTATATATAAAGGTTAAAAGTTAGAGTCTAGAGGATCGACTTTATTGCATCAGGTTTCATCTCATATAGTTCGGTCTCTCTCAGAACGGCTAGCCGCCTGCGCCGATTCCCTGCGATGTCTGTAAACATTGCACTCGTGAACTGAACGGCGCAGACGTGAAACAAACCCGCGACCTTTAATGCGCGAGACAAACGGCTAGGCCACTTCGCCACGGAGACCCCGTATATATGCATATGTGTGTGTGTGTGCGCGTATATATACATACACAGACATGTATATATGTGTGAGTGTATATTTATATTAGAAAGTCATAGTCAGCCTGCTTTATTCCAAACGTATTGATGTATTTGATGTTACCTTTCTCTGGGGTAAACAAGACAGTAAGGCATAATGCTGCATGGACAAAAGCATGACCTCTCTAGTACTGCCAAGATTTTGTGTTATAGAGAGGAGGTACTTCGCTCCTAGCCAAACTGGTCACACTAGCTATAGCCACGGACTGTGACTGCCATGCCTTTCTACTGCACAGTGTAACAATATCAGCTGGAAAAATGGAAATAAGAAAACAATCAACGGGTTTGGGTGGGTGAATGTTTTGTGTTTGTGCGCGTGTGAGTGCACAAGTACGCATATACGCGAGCGTGAGCGTAACTTGATAAGTCTCTTTGGGGTTTAAACGACGCTTGAACGCTAATGCGTTGGACTTGATATTGAAAATCTTTGGGCGGATTTCCAACCGTCCAGCTCACTAGTCCAATGAACAGTTGTGACTCAGTTCACTGCTATGGTTACCACTACTATTAGCAAATCTTGTTGACACACACACACACACACACACACACACACACATATATATATTATATATATATATATATATATATATATATATATTATTATGTGCGTGTGTGTGTATGTGTGTAAGCCGCCATGGTGTAGCGGCTAGGCGCTCGGCTGCTAATCCGATGATCGTAGGTTCTAATGTGAACGGAGCCTGACTTGTTTCAAAAATTACTTTGGCTCCCAGGGCGATCCAGTCCTAATTAAATGGTTACCAGATAAAGTCCCGGGAAGTAAGGTGGTAGGTGTAATTTTGACCACAAACCTGCCGATTGGTCTAAAGAATATAGATCTAGTCCAATACTCTTAATAAGGGCGTGGAAAATGGGCCTTAACTTTATAAATATCTATAATTAAACAGTTCATTCTGTAGCTATTAAGGACGCTTCGAGTAAATATACAGACACATACGTGAGCTGATAATCGTATTCCCGACGTCGAATGAGCGGTTTCTTAAATCTCGGGCATTTTAGGTGGACAGTGAAACCTGAAATGTTAGTTTTCACACAGTTAATTGCATATTCTATACAGACAAGGAAACCTGAAAAATAATTTTCACAGAGTTAATTGCATATTTTGTACAGACAATGAAAACTGAAAAATAAGTTTAAGAGTTAATTGCATATTCTGTACAGGGTGTCGCCAACGAATCCCAGCATTTGCGATCAATATGTTGTCATTGGTCCTATTACGGTAGCTATTATGTACTTAACTTTCCAACACTCATGGCAGCTTTTTTTTTTTTTTTTTACTCACGAGTTCGACACCTCCAAATCTACTTCTTCTTTACCTCTTTCTCCCCTCCCATCATGACTCTTTTCCCCTTCTACTTCTCTTTATTTTCCTCCTCCGTCTCATCTACTTCTTCTGCTATTATGTATTATTATCCATAAGCTATGTTGCGTGCTCAGTATGTGTATATGTCTCGCTACCACAGATAACACTCTTCCAGAGAGCTAGTCAATGCCTGAAGGTCTATCTCTACATATGTTCCCATTCTTCTTGTTACAGGTCAGCTTGATCTTGTACCTGTCCCAGTCAACATAAAAAATTGTTTAAGTTATTTCAATATTGCAAGCACAAAACCATCACTTTAATCAAAATGACTTTTAAACTAGACAAACACTGACAGCGTTTCCAGCATTTTATAGTTCTTATCTCTTATGTATTATTTTTTTCAATATTGTTTAATAACGATCTGAAATAATGTACCAGAATTTAATTTAATACAAAAGATTGTTTTTTACTGTTCAGTAAAAAAATAATTTATGAAAATGGATAAGAAAACATCGAGTTCATGGCAGTAAAGAAGGCAACGGTGACCCGATGAATGAGAAAAGCATGAAGATTGGACGATATGTTTTGGAAAGAGTGAACTTGAAGACATCACATTAGTGCACCTGCTTATCACAGAAATGGTCTTAGACTAGATACTTGCTTTATTTTAAAGCGGTGTTTACCAACCTCTTTACAGGTGCAGAGAAAAAGAAAAAAATTTGGCCGGTTGACGTCTAAAGCACGTAGTTAGTATTTTATTTATTAAATATCCCAGTGTGGGTTCCGGACCTACATTTTGGAGAAACAGGAATAGATCCACTCTTTTCCTAACAAGCAGGTCGAAAGCAGGCTACTAATTAGGAGTGTTTCCTTCATAGTCGCAGTGCATCTGCCTGAGATGCAAGGAACCAACGGTCAGCACACAAATAAGTCAGATCTGTAAAAGGATATATACGCAAAATTGAAATTGCTGAATCAAGACCAATGTTTAGGAGCAGATGAACAACCAGAACGTTCCGCTGGATTTACTTAATACAATGTAAACCAAAAATTGTTATCTAATGGGGTATCAGGTGCTTAGGGATAAGAAGAACATATGTGAGGTCTGAGAGCTGTTTCTGAGAGGCGACGCTCTGCAAAAAACATATATATGATTTCCTTATTTTAACACATTTTCAACAGTTATGATTTCTATTTTCAGTCGTATCTATTGAATAGTTGGCGTTCCCTTAGAACAGGTAGCCACTGTATGTACAGCTTGTCTGTCCAATCAACCAGTTGTTTTATTACAAGTAACGAAGTCAGGCCCACAAACAGAATGACTTCCTTTCGCATTGATGCCGCTGTGACGTCTTCTTCTATATTAGATGAGTGTTTTCTTCGGCGTTCGGTGGGAGTATGCAGTGTTTGTGGGATGTTGTGTTATCATGAGTCTATTTAAGCCACCGCAGGCGCCTGTATACAATTAAAAAGTAATGCAGAGGAAAGCGCCGCAGGCGCGACGATTTGTGAATATTGAAACTTTGATCTTTCTGTATTTTCTACGTTCGTTGGGGGTGGCCCCCACCCCCCCCCCCCTCTTCCCTGAGACAGGGAATATACTGAGAAGGCACGTAGGCATTGAAAAACATAATAGTTTCCGCACTCCAGAAGCGTCGCGCAGATAGCAAATCGTGGAAATAATCAACCACGTCAGCGGTGACAAGACGAGGAAAGAGAGAGGTTTTCAAGCGCTGAAAATCAGGAATACCTGACACCCCTGCAACATAGAAGACGCCCTGCGTCACAACTCTGTTTGTGGGCCTGAGTTAGTTTTTTCTTCCGGTGCTTGTAGAGGATGCCGCATGTCACCGACTTCAAGGTTACTTCTTATAGTATGTGTCCAAATGTACAAGAATTCTACACCACAACATCGAAATAAATAAATCTCATAAACAACTATCCTTGATAACAATGTTTGTCAAAGAGTTCGGTTTTGCGCCCATCATTTATCTCTGTTAAGCTTATTCTTTCACTCATTTTCCTCTTGCGACATTGTATGTCACACAGGGCTTGCAATTTATTTCTCCACACCGTTGTACTCTCTGAAATCACTTCGATGTTATGGATGGAATCCAGTCCAGCACCTTTGGCTTCTCTCATCAACGCCCGCTTTACTGCCCCTCTTGAAAATCCATGTTTCCTCAATCCTTCTATTTGCCAGTTGCCTCAGCAAACATGTGTAGGTAGTGTGCAGAGTCTTGCCTTATTAGAGAATGTCCACTGGCCCAGAAGGATGAGGACTTCCGAAACCCCAATTCAAATATATAGTGTACCAACTGCTCCTGCTCGCATGGGGCAGATATATAGGCTGCCCATAGCTACAACAGTATAGGGACACGATAAAAACAGCCATCAAGGAAAATTAAACACATAGAGAAGCGCAAAGGAGACACGAAGCACCAACGAGAATTCAATCCCTGAACATAGCACAATTTCGAGGCCACATTACGAAAATGGAAAGTGCAATAAAAACCGTTAGAGCAGACAAAGAAACAGGGGACATACAGCATGCACAGCTACCTAAGAAATCCTGAAGACCGCGCTAAAAGTTCAAAGTCAGATAACGAAAGAATTAGCTTCGATGGACGATTTTAAATAAGAAATAACGGCTCTTCTCAGTGGCATAAAGAACCAACGAAAATATACACCATCGTGGATGTGAGACCTCCCAAACCGGGCAGAAAAACGTAAGAAACTCACACTCAAAAGCCAAAGCCAAGACCAGGTGAGAGAGGCAGAGCAGTTGTACAAAAGAAAACCACGAAAGAGATGGTGAAACGATCCACCTAGACTTTAGATAAATGGCACGAGGAGCAATAACGACTTGTAGAGTAAAGATTATATCAAGCGGCGATTATCCAACGGAAGTACAAAAAATACATTTGGTGGAGAGGAAAAACACAGTTTCAAGCTAGCAACAGGATGACTTTTGTGAAGACTTCGTATCGCGATGTGGACGAAGATGACATACCAACAATGTTACGAAGCTGGGTCAAAATCACAATAGCCTCTGAAGACCTGATGGTAGAACAATAGCGATGACAGCTACTATAACAGTGGTTCTTAACTTTCTAATGCCGCGACCCTTTAATACAGTTCCTCATGCTATGGTGATTCCCAACCTAAAAAAAAAAAATATGTACTTCATGACTTCAGTAAATATATGTTTTCCGATGGTCTTAGGCGACCTCTGTGAAAGGGCAGTTCGACCCCACGAAGGGTCGCGACCAACAGGTTGAGAACCTCTCTACTGAAAAACAACAGGAAGAACTGGGACAGAAATATCACCATAAACAGGTCAGAAGAAATTCCAATCAATGCCAGTAACACCACCGATGGAAAAATACCCGTGTTATGTTTCTCTGTTCGTCTCTTTGGATATGTTTAATATAGCGTCATCTTCTCAGTCTTACAACACTGGTAATACTTTTTGGTTGTTTTCTTCATTTCTTCACTCCTCTTCAATTCAACCTATTGTTAAAGGTAAAGTGAATGTCCCTTCATGCGCCAGAGGCCTCTCGGGCATTTGAGGCTAGGCTTATATATTCATAGATGAATCTATTGATCAACATCACGCCAGCCGCCTTTGCATTCCAGGACTTTTACCGGTACCCATTTAAGGCTCGGTCAACTTGGTAGCCACCCCCCCCCCCCCCCCCCGGTTCCCAAAATAAATGCAGGTATAATGTGAATTTGAACACACTGCTTCGTGCGTCTAATCGCTACAAAACAGCGGCGATTTTATCTGTAAGTTTATTATAGTGTATGTTATGTTTATTTAGTTCTCTAACGTAATACTATGCACGAAACAGGACATGTTTATCTATTTTTGTACACCTTGATGATCGTGGACTTAGTATATTAGACAGAGATTATTTTGCCCGTCCCCTTGTGGGCGTAGTTTTCGTTTTTTTGATGCCCCACCTTTGTTGTTGCTGGGGGACCCTAATATAAGGAGGGGGGGGGGGATGTCTGGGATTTTTCACGGGTGATCCTCATTCCAAATGGTGGCACTTTGTGTCACCAGATGTTTATCGCTCAGTGTGATGTTCCAGTGGGGTTAAAGCCAGTCAGTCATGAGAGAGAGAGAGAGAGAGAGAGAGAGAGAGAGAGAGAGAGAGAGAGAGAGAGAGAGAGAGAGAGAGAGAGAGAGACTAACGCTGTATCCCCAACATTCGCTAGTGGTACAGGTATCTCCCCACGTGGGTTCCATGGCCCAGAGATGGTAGACCCCAAAAACAGTGGGAGTCGATCGATTGGGGGTACCCTTTAAAGTCTGAGAGGCCAGGAAAACATAGTCTGCAGACAAAAATTCTAGATCTGTAAAACGGATAGGCAGGAAATATTCAAGCTTTGCAACTAGAGAAAAGTCTAGAGGTGAACGACCAACACGATCTTCAACAACATGTGAACCTGATAAAGAAGAAAAATAAGAAAGAGTGGCATAATGCAGAAGGAGTTACCTTTTGTTACACTCAACATGGAAGATCTTAGACTGGGTAGAGTTGCAGTCTTGAGTCTAGGGCTCCTTTGCTGGATAGGATTTCTGAAATCGAATGGGGGAGGACAACACCCAAACTGGTAAGAGGCGGACAACGACGACGATGACAAAGGAAGAGAGATATAATAGACCCACTGACCCCTGATATGAGTATGTCGTAAACGTCGAAATCGGATGAGCTGTTCGGAAATACGCAAACATCGCAGCCTAGATGTAAACTACAAAACAACACCCTAACTGCGGTTTTAAAGAGGCGGACAACGACGACAACGACCACGAAGAAGAAGAAGAAGAAGAAGAAGAAGAAGAAGAAGAAGAAGAAGAAGAAGAAGAAGAAGAAGAAGAAGAAGAAGAAGAAGAAGAAGAAGAAGAAGAAGAAGAAGAAGAAGAAGGAGAAAAAAGAAGAAGAAGAAGAACAAAAACAACAACAACCACTTGGTAGCAAATAATGTACGCTTAACGTCACATTCTCCAGCATACTAGGGTGCACTAAAACAGAGGGCATTAACCCTTCTTGTACTCACCATGGGGGGTCTTGGACTTGATAGAAGAACGGTTTGCTGGCACATCTTCGCTCACTGTTCACGCAGCACTCTGGTAACGGTGGGAACCGGTAGTCCGCAATGCCCGACTTGCATCCATCCCCTCCGAAAGGAGTGAAAGACATGCTGCTGCTTTGATGTCTGTCACACACGACGTGGTCCCATGAACCGATTTCCGATTCGGTGACCTGTTATATTTCTACGTGGGGAAATGGAGGTGAATAGATTGTATAAAGCCTAGAAGAAAGAGAAAACTAACCATGTGAGCATGACTGACAATTTTAGCATCCGATACATTTAGATATCATAACAGAGGCGAGGCACCACGTCTGGAAGTCCCCGTGGTGTAGAGGCCAGACGATCGCCTGCAGATCCCAAGGTCGTTGATTAAAATCCTGACTGAGCCAGACTTACAACAACAGCAAAATTACCGTGGCTCTCAGGTCGGCCTAACCTTAGATGTGTACCAGGTGAAGTAAAAGATGGGAAGTAAAGGCGACCATTGCGATTTTGATCACATCACGCATGGAGTGCCGACTGGTCTAGAAAATATAGGTTTATAAAATAGAGGTCTAGCCCTGTATGCCCAATACGCCTGAAGGTACAGAAGAAGTGCAGAAGAAGGAAAAAGGGTCCATACTTATTTTACTTTTACTGTGGGATAGAGTGCAGAAAGAAAGAAAAAAAAAGTGTTTTTGCATACTTTACCTTTACTGTGTGACAGAGTGCAGAAAAAGCCAAAAGTGTTTTTACATACTTTACTTTTACTGTGGGATAGAGTGCAGAAAAGCCAAAAGTGTTTTTACATACTTCACTTTCACTTTTACTTAAGGATAGAGTGCAGAAAAAGAAAAAAAGGATTTTACATACTTTACTATTACTGTAGGATAGAGTGCAGAAAAAGCCAAACGTGTTTTTACATACTTTACTTTTGCTTTAGGATAGAGTGCAGAAAAAGAAAAAAAAAAGTATTTTACATACTTTACTTTAGGATTATCATCATAATCATCATCCTGTAACACTACATGTCGTTGCGTCACCAATTTCTGTTGACTGTCTGATCAACTCTCTCCACCTTTGGCGGTCAGTTGCGATAGACATCATGGTTGCATGCCTGAGGCCTGTCCAGTCAGTCAGGTTCTGGAACCAGGTCCTTCTTTGTCTGCCTCTTCTCTTCTTTCCCTCTACTGACCTCTGCAGTATTTTTTTTTACATTTCCATACTATTGCATTTTTCGCTTTTTCAATGTAGTTAAAAGAGGTTCATATTTGCCAATGTGCTGTATAATTTTATGACGAACCTCTTCATTTGTGGGATAGAGTGCAGAAAAAACAATGAGTATTTTTACATACTTTACTTTTACTGGGGGATAGAGAGCAGCGGGAAAAAAGCTAATATAAGCAAAACTAAGACTACTAAAATCATGTACGTTTAGATATAATAGTGGCAAAGCACAGAATCTAGTTTTGGGAGACATTCCTGAGTCTGTATCAGTAGCTAGGCTCTTTTCAGCTTTTTTCACCCCATCTAGGGTGCTTCGAGATTTCTTAGAGAATTCCTAGCCAGTATTACAGGGGGGTTAGGGTTACAGTTAGTGTTAAATGAATAGCGACTAACACACCCCCCCCCCTTCCACCCGTCCCTTTTTTTAAGGGACCCCCCCCCCTCTTCCTCCATATGGGAGGTTCAGGGAAACTCGCTGGGAATTCCCAACCAAATAAGCAGAAAAGAATCTTATTAATTAGACAGTTTATTATATTGTTATGTGTGCCATCCCCACATTAGAGGTTGGCTGCAATGAATCCAACTGTTCACTACTGGAATATTACGTAGAAAGGCAATATGCTATGTAGACAGGGTGGGCATAATATCTTGAGCGGTATATCCTATAATATAGTGTGAGATCAATATGGGACATCCCACTTATATTTTGGTGTTAAAACATGATATCCAACGCAAGTCAGTCCAACCTCACCCCTAATTTCTAGGACACCGGGGTGAAAGGGCTAATTATCGCTCAAAAATGGTATTTAAATCAGAGTCATTGTTGCCAAAAATAAACTAAACACTATGCTCTTTAACCAAAACGGAAAAAGAGAGATGTGGTTTTACACAAGAATACTTAGAATTCCTTTGACAGCTAAGAAGAGCAGATGGTTTGAAAGAAAGCGAGTGTTCGAAGACAACTTATCACAAACGTCAGAAAGAGACAGTCATCATTTGTTGGTCATGTTAAAAGAAGAGGGAAAATTGAATATTTTATGACCTATGGAAAAGATTTGTGGAAAGGGAGAGGAAGAGGGCGCGAAAAGATTCTTGACAACCTTTTGTCATGGCATAGAGTGGTCAGCACACGAACTAATACACTGTACACACAGTAGTGGATCGCAAATTGTGGAAAGACATGATCGCCCACGCCAGTCAGCAAGGCACTTGATTATGATGACTAAACTTTAACTTCTACTGTTAGACAAACCTGTGTTTAAGCTTGATCTAGGAAGAAGTAAGGCTGAAGGACTAACAAATTTCAAATAATGACATCAATAACATTAATAACTTTTGCGCTACATGTTGGCAGGAAACACGTATAAATGGTGTTTTGCACCTACGAATTTTTTTTTTTTTTTTTTCAAAAAGGGAAATCCCTAAACTAACCCTGAATGCACCATCTTCATGTGCGATGTCTAACGAGAACTGTGATCATAGTTGAGTCAGTTAAGTCAAAAATTGATATCACAGCACTCGAGGCAATCTCATGCGTGTTCCTTCCTCATCTTCAGCAGCCAGAGTTCCAGTACTGATGGTACCGGTCACAATCTGGTTATCTGTCTATCTTGCCTTTCCTCTGAATGTAGAAAGCCGGCTAGACCTTCTGGTTACACCCATGTGCCTCATTCTCTCCAGGCCAAAATAATTGCTATCATACTCCTGCACAACCATTGGATTTTTTTTGTTTCTGTGTATTCTTTTAGCATGTTTCTATCATTTTGACTGACGATCCAGCATGTCCTATAATGAGACATTAAATTCCAACAGTAGCCGATGTTATCATCAATATCGTCATCCTGCTGTGCTGTAATATGACCCATACGGCTCACTGCTGAGTCCTCTATTCTGTTCAATCTATGCAATCCTCTTGACATAATGGATTGAATGTTGAATTAGGAATCGACATCATAGCACTCCCATCTGCGCTATATCCCCATCTTCAGCAGAAAACTAAGAGTTCCAATTCCGATGGCACCAGTAACTGTCTGATTGTGTATCCGACTCTCCTTTCCCTTGAGTTTTGAGTGGCGGTCAGATCCCCTGGTAACTTCCCACAGCACCATTCTCCTCAGACCGTATGATCTGTTTGTGCCTCCGCACTGTTCACTCGCTGCCAAAGGATCATCGCAACATCTAGCTTTTCATACATCAATTCAACACCAGGTGGCGCAGAACCGGTCAATCTATATGCTTGTTCGTTTCCTAACACACCGGTATGACCTAGAGAAAATATCCAAAGACCCTAACTATCAAGGACCTCTCAAGCAATGCTTGCAACTCTGCACTGAGCATGCCTGTCTCCACAGTTCTAAATATGCTCCATGAATCGGTTACAGTTACGATATGTGTGTACAGCTGATTCTCGAACCAGTAAAAGACAGTAGTGACTGCCTCCACTCCCCATTCCCAGACTAGACGTTTTGATATATTATGCTAGGTTTTGTTGCACAAAGCGACATCCATTAGTTTTTGCTATTAACTATCGCACTTCGTATATCTCTCAATACAGAGCCATCTGTATAGATAATCTATAATTGGGCTGAAATTTGAATAAATCATGTGTTGAACTTCTGATTCTGCAGCACCAGCTGACCAGTCCTTGCACTCACTACCTGAAGTGATTATAACCTTACACAAGTCTGATTCTTGATCAGACATATTGACCCGCTTCTCTCCTCGCCCACAAATTTTCAAGTCTTTCACACACGTCTTCAGGTGGCTCCATCCAAGACCTTTTTCTTTTCAGTCTGTGACTCTCTACTCAGGGCTTTATTCAGGAGGTGCTTCTTGTCTGCGGCTACTCTGAGATATGGCTTTGCTTGCAATACTTTGAGCCTGTGTGTAATAGTGGGCAGTGCAAGCATATATCGCATACATATTACCTATCAATGTCTTTTGTACATTCCAGTAATAACCACATGGCTTCATTCTGCATGCGTTCAACTTTCATTAGCATTCCTAGTTCGAAATCTATCACTAAGAGGATCACACTCTAGATCATTGTGAACAGCTTTCTGCGTTTCTTGTCCATTGCTGCCATAAACTTCAGAGCATTTTGCCGCAACTGCCTCCACATGATCACTGAAGGACAGGCTTCTATTGAAAATGATACCCTGGTACATGTTTGTTTTTCTTTTTTGACATTTCTGTCATTAATTTGTGAGGTTTGGAACATTAGCTCGCACAATTATGTTGTCCAGAGAGCACCACAAAACAGCCACTATTTCTGAGTTGATGACAGCACCCATCTCTGCACACCAGTCAGTCAATTTATCTACAGTTGAATGTGGCTATTGCGCTGTTTGTTGCCTATCACTCCCTCTGCCTACATGCAAGAGCCTCATCTGCAAATGTTAAAGAACGTTTGCTATTAAAGACCATAAAACACAGAAAACTAAAAAAGTTTTGGTCACTTGAAACGTCACGAAAGTTAAAAAAAGAACAACAATTATTGAGGGGTATATTGTCTGAGAAGAGAGGAAGATAAATACCTAAGAGAAGATGGGTGTAGGGTATGGCGGATGAACTCCAGATGGGTGAATCAGACGCGGGACATCTTGTTTGTGATCGAGAAGTTTTCAGGAAGGTTGTTAATGGAGAAAGGTTCTGCAAAGGACAGGCTACCGACTGACTGACTGGGTATATTTACAGTGTGCTGTATTTAGGAAAATACATTTTGAAACTTGAGTTTGTTCCAATCTGGAACAGATTATTTAGTTTATGTTGTCAAAAGGAAAATTTGATTCAAACTTGAAAGATTTCTTTCTTCTTCTTCTTCTTCTTCTTCTTCTTCTTCTTCTTCTTCTTCTTCTTCTTCTTCTTCTTCTTCTTCTTCTTCTTCTTCTTCTTCTTCTTC